CAGGTCATGATCTCACAGTCTGTGAGTTTGAGCCCCGCATCGGGCTGTATGCTGACAGCTCAGAGCCTGGAGCCTGCTTCAGATTCTGTGTCTCCCTCTCTCTCTGCCCCTCCCCTGCTCATGCTCTGTCTCTGTCTGTCTCAAAAATAAATAAAAACATTAAAAAAAAAGATAAACGATGACAATGGTTCGGACTTCAATAATGAATTTAAATAAGGTTTGTAGGGTAAAAGAGGCTTCTCTTTGTCTTATTAGAGCAAATATTCTCTGATAAATTCATCTTGAGCATATGTTGAAATTCTTTCCTGGCTAATGGGAAAACTAACAAGTGGATTATGGTGTGTACCAGTATGAAGTAAACTTCTACCCAGCCTAGCTATCCTGTATGAAAAAAATATTTGCATAAGGAACTAAGCTTCTAGGTGCAGATATCACTTTATTTTACACAGCTCCAAAAGGTCACAACCATGAGGTTGACAGTTGAGAGCCATCTTAGGGTTTACAGGAGCAAGTGATACATAAAGAAAACTCATCTGTTGCTATGATTAGACATGGCAAGAAAAAAACCACTTTTGTCTCTATGCAGTTGTTCCTAATCTCAGATTGTTACCTCCTTATATTTCCGTATTTTTCTGCACAGATACCATGTCTTCCTGGATCTTATTGAATTATGAATTAGGTATTTACTTGGAGTAAATATATTTTGGTGAGAGATATCTCTTCTGACTCTACAAAGTGGCTTTTTATTTCAAATTATAGGATGCTTTCATAGGTCTTTTTATGTGTTTCTCAGATTATACAGTTGACCCGTGAACAGCATGGGTTTGAACTGCACAGATCCACTTATATGCGGACTTCTTACAGTACAGGACTGCAAATGTATTTTCTCTCCCTTCTGATTTTCTTAACATTTTTCTCTGGTTTTCTTTATTGTAAGAATACCGCATAAAGTGCATATAACATACAGAATATGTGTTAATCAACTGCTTATGTTATCAGTAAGGCTTCTGGCCAACAGTAGTCTATTAGTAGTTAGGTTTTGGGGGAACCATGAGTTATACAAGGATTTTTGACTCTGCAGGGTGTTGGTGCCCCAACCTTCATATTGTTCAAAGGTCAACTGTACTTTAGAAGCAGGTGTGTACTTTCCAGTCATCCACCCCTTTATCTGGTTTGCTTTTCTGTAGCATTTGCATTGATCAGCATTATAGTCTACCGTCTCTGTTTATTTGTTTTCTATTTACCCAGTGAGGACATATATACCATGAAGGTAGGGTTTTGACTATTTCTTCTGCTGTATCTTTAGAGCATAAGACAGGGTGGGGACATTGTAGGTCATCATTAAGTATTTGTTGAGTACGTGGTTGGATAAATGAATGAAATAGTTACATTGTCTGCACTGAGGGACGTACCAGATATATTTAATCAATCTTCTATTAATGGATCTTTGGATCGTTTCTGGATTTTCAGAATTACATAGACAATGTATCAATACGCACCCTGGATTACTCTAGTGGAGATTGTGGCTGCCTTCTTAACATCCACTCCTCCTTCTCTTGGTAACCATCCTTATAACCATTCAGTTAACCAAACATGTACCAAGTTCATTGCGGAATGAAGGTCTACCCCTTGCTCTGAGATTATGCTGGGTAACCTAATTGTAAATTAATCAGCATAATCCCACTAGACTATTGACTCAGGTTTGTGCCAATGACCAAATTCAGTGAAAGACACACATTATGATGTCTGCCAGGGACATCTGGGAAAGAAACTTCCTAGATCTGATGGGAGTAGCTTTGTCTTTCCCCCTCGATATAGACAAGGTAGAGTCGGGCTCTGAGGGCCATTTCAATCACAAGGTTTTATCCTGAGGATAAAACTGACATTAATGCACAGAACAGAGACAGGAATCATAGGGTCCTTGACATTTTTGAATTGCTGAATCAAAGCATCCTTGAAGCCTTCCCAGTTTTTAAGCTTCCATTAGCACATCTTTAAAGGCCATTTGAGTTGGCTATTCTGTTCTTTGCAATGGAATGACTCCTAAATTATACACTCCCATTTATACTTTGTTTTTGTGGTTGTATGGATATTTCAATAGAATAGAGTTTTAGAAATGAAGTTTCTGGGTCAAAGAGCATACAGATTTTACATTTTAGTATAAATTTACAAATTATGAAGAGTTAGATTTTTTAAAAAGACAGTTGATAGAAAATGACAAGATAGGCTGACAAGGGAATATTGAATAGTATCAAGAGAAAGGATTTTTTTCCATACTTTTCTTTGGACCTTCCCTTATCTCTCATCTTTTATATAGCTCCCTTAACCTGCCAGGTCTCTAAATCTGCCCTCTTCTTGCGGTGAGGTGGGTGGTGCTGGTGTGGAACAGAAAATGTTTTAGAGGAAACGGGAGAATCTTTAAGGTCATTTGTTTCTGGAGAGAAGCCTGAGATATTTAGTTAAGGTAGATCTAAAGCTACCTATTTTAACATAGAGGAGTTATATATGAAATTAATTAATTTAGGCCATATGTAAACATGAAAGCAGTTCAATGAGAACTATGGAAATAAGACAGGACAACTTAGTTATGACCATATATTTAAGAGCCTTGAATGCAAGGCTAAGGAATTTGGCCTCCATCCCAGTGGAATTGACAAGGCAATATGAAGGGCTCAGGACTGGTTCTTATGAATGTGCCATCCAGAATTACAAAGGAATAGAAATTTGGTAATGGGGCATGTGTCTTCCCATATTTTCCTCTTCCAAAATACCTGGTGTGGACTGTATGTTTGTGCCCCTCCCCCATGCCCACACATTTATGTGCTCAAACCTAACCCACAACAGGACAGTATTAGGAGATTGGACCTTTGCAAGGTTTATATGGTCATAAGGCTAGAGACCCCATGATGGGATTAGCGTCCTTATAAGAAGAGACTAGAGCCCTCTCTCTGCCAGGTGAGGACACAGTGAGAAGGCCCCTGTCTACAAGCCAGGAAGTGGGCCTGCACTGTTTCCCACTGCACCTTGATCTTGGACTTCCCAGCCTCCAGAACTATGAGAAGTTAATGTTTGTGGCTTAAGCCACCCAGTCTATGGCATTTTTGGTATAACAGCCTAAACCGACTAAGACAATATCCCTCCTTCACCTTATTACTGAGGCTGTGAACATTTTCCCATTTCGAACCTCCTCCATCTGCTCCAGGATGTCCGTGCTTAGATCCCATTATATTCTTCTCCTGGATCCATACCGGATATGCACAGGAATCACGTGTTGGGACTTGTTCTCCAAACCAACTCTGTAGCCACAACTTCTATGACCTCAGTGTAATAGATCTGCTCTGTAAACTGACCTGCATTTTCACTTTCTTTCTTTTATAGTTCAAAATAGTACATTATTTGGGCTGGGATGTGGGGGTCTGGTGGTGGAAGATGGGCAATGGGCACAGACTGCCTACAGACATCATGCCTGAAATAGCAATAAAATCCCAGTGGGAAAGCAAGAAAGATCTTAGAGAACTGGAATATATAGGTAGGTAAAATCTTGGGAAATGCAGGAAATCTGTGATTTGTACAAAAAAACAAATTCTCCATCTGGTGGTTTCCATTATCTAGCCTCACAGTTTCAGATGGACTGGAGCCAAAAAAAAAAAAAAAAAAAAAAAAAAAAAAAAAAAAGGAGACCATAGTGTCACAGCAGTAGCAATGCTTTGGGAATAAGGGCCACTGGAGCTTCCCTGACTCTGAACTAACTCAATGACTTTGGGCAGTTGATTTGCCCTTTCTGTACCCTGATGTCATCATCATCTGTTCAAAAATGTGATGGCAATAGTGACTTCAAAGCTTATCCATGTTTATATCTTCAATGGACCACACAGAGCCTAGCAGATAGATGATCAGTAAATTCATTTGGATCAGGTTGAATGAATACCTATGTAACCTTTCCAATTCTATCCTCATGTAATTGTTCAATTCTGTGCCCACTCTCTTACTCAGCAGTCAGTTTGAAGATAAAGTTCATAAATATTAAGTAAGGGCAGTTCTTGGACACATGTGGTGTGAGACAAAATTTTTTTATTTAGATACTGTTTTCAGGCATAGGTGGAAGGCGAGGTTGACTAACGGGATAAGGTGTGGAGAGGTCCATGTGCTTAGTTGGCAGCGATGGTCTGCTGAATCCAGCTCACGTAGTTGCAGACCTTGGTGTAGACACCGGGTTTACCTCTTTGAGCGCAGCCGGCACCCCAGGAGACAATGCCCTGGAGCTGGTTGTTGCAGACCACAGGGCCACCAGAGTCACCCTGAACAAGAGGAAAGAGACAATAAGAACTCTCAGTTACACCAAGTTGGGGGAAAGGCTCAAAGTTGTTTCTCCATTACCCTGGGTCCGTTTTCCCAGGTTGCTGATTCTCCAGGAAGCATCTTCACTTTTCCTGGGAATCCAACCCTCAATCTCTGTACTACATCCCTATCCTTTCTACCCCACCCCCCTCCTCCTAGCTCCTGCTCTTCTCTTAGTTGCAGGCGGGCAGGACCAAGAAGAGGTGAGGACAGGTGAGTGCAATGCTGCCCAGCTAGCCCTGCTTTTTTTTCCAGAAAGTTTCCTGGTACAATATACCTCCTCCGCAGGGCGCCTGGGTGTGCTGTTTGCACACCGTCTTCTGTGTATCTTTTTACCCTTGACCCTAACCATTAATTTCTCAAAAGGAAAATTTATCATTTATCCCAAATCTCTCCATTGTCCCTTATAATCCATCCCAGAGACAGCTTCTCAATCTGTGTTTCAGGAAAGGGAAAATATGGTGGAAATGCCTGCGGCTTGGCCAGAAGGAGTACAGAGAAACTAACCTGGCAAGAGTCCTTTCCGCCTTCCAGGAAGCCTAGACAGATCATGTTGCTGGTGATCTGGCCTGGGTAGGCTTTACGGCAAGCACTGTCAGTTAGTATGGGAGCTTTCAGACACTGCAGGACATCGGGATAATTTTCTGTTGGGCGCAAGGGTAAAAATGGAAGAATATTACCCACAGGATTCTTGGAGATTTCTTTCCCAATCTCTCCCTCCTTCCCTACTTTGCCAGTAACTTCTATTTTGGAAGAACAACTTTTATCTGGAAAGTCTCCCAAACAGTTTTAATCAACAAGTTGTTCTCTCTGACGCTGGCACCAGTGACTCCAGATCTCAAATCTGGAGACTACCTCTTAAGCAGGTCTATACTTTAGGTGGTACCAAATCTCTCAGCCTCTCTTCTGTTTACCTCCTCGGTTTCTACTTCTTTGCAAATCACGAATCACACTTCAGCTGAACATCTGCTATCTTTATCACAGTTCATTTTTTCTTGTGTTTTCCAGCAAAGGAAACTTCCTAAGACTCCATACATCCACAAACTATCCTCTGGGAACCTTGCCTTGAGTGACAGTTCAGACTAACTGACCCCCAACATGTCTTTCACTTCTAGGATTTTCAGACTTGGTGCTTTTGTTCCAGGTGACACTCACCCCCAAAGCTCTGGACATTTCCCCAGCCAGAGATGAGGCACTGGGAACCAGAAGGTGCACAAGATCTTGGCAGAGAGATAGCAGACACTCGAGAGTTGAGGGTGGCAGGTGAGCTCAATTTAATCAGCATGATGTCATTATCAATAGTGTTTGCATTGTATCTCGGGTGGCGGATGACCTTGGCCGAATTGATGAATTGTTCACTGCCCTCAGAGACTGCAATGTTGTGTTCTCCCAGACGCACCTGGATTCGGCTGGATTAGAGGATGCAAAGTTCTGTAAGTATCCAACTTGAGATTTTCCCCCTCCCCTGTTCCCCCCAGTCATAAGCATAAGCATGAACACCATCCCCTTCAAGTGTTCCCACACATAGGTAATTGTGCACTTAAGGCAGCCCTACCAGATACGGTCCAGGTTAGAGTAACTCTTAAGTGGGTGTCACTACCAGCCCGCCATCTTGTTAGAATAGCTAGATGCCTTTAGTTCCCATGACTGAATGACACCAATACAATGATGGCAGGTTAGGTGGGAATTGATGAATATTATTCAGCACATGCTATTCCTCCTCTGGTTGAGATTATCAGTTATTGTAGGGAGACATGGCAGGAATCAGAGACATGCCAGGATTTCAAGGGGGCAGAATGAGTTGTACTTATTTTTAACATTGTACTGGAAACTTCTTTTGGGTTTTTACCTCCATATGCCATTTTTTCCTGGTTGAGCTATAATGATTGGGACTATTTATCGATTAATGCTCTTAAGCTAGTCCTAGGTATACTTCATCACTAACTAGTTCCCCTCCTCTGTCTCTGGTACCATCATTTGGAAGGCTACCAGGGAACTCTAAGGTTAGCTGTCCATGTAAAATTCCCTCAACGCAACATACAGTGCCTGGGGAGAGTGACAAGGCTTCTAGAATCCGAATGCTCACCCCTCAAGCATAACTCTCTAGTTTACCCTGATTGTGCTTTGGCAGGGCTGGGGGATGAGCTGATCTGGGAGAACAGATATGTGAGTATCAGTTACTTACGACTTGTAGCAGTGAGCCGCAGACACCACCCACTGGGAATTGATGAGGGAGCCGCCACAGAAGTGGTAGCCCGAGTTCAGGGACACCTGGTAGGGGACAGAGTTCCTCGGACAGGTGTAGCCCCCAACGATCTTGTCATCGTCATCAATGGGGAAAGCCACTGACAAGGAAAAGTTGGAAACTATCTGTTAAAAGATACATCTTGGAATTTCTACTTACCACTAAGTTTTTGTAGGTGAACTAGAAAAGAGAAGATAATGTTTTCTTGTCACACATAATCAGGACATGGTGATAACATAATTTTCCCATAATGTTTTTCCCAAAATCTTATTACTCTATCTATACCTTTGACATATACTCTACTTACACCATTATAAATATCTAATTTGTAAGTTATGCTTTAAATTTGATAAATATACTGTTTTTCAACATATGTACCACACAAACACACACACACACGTGCGTGCACACACACACACACACACACACACACACACACACACACACCTTGATCAGAGACTCTTATATATTAAATGCCCTGAACATTACTACCTAAGGATGTAAAGAATACTTTTTAGGAGTGCCTGGGTGGCTCAGTCGGTTAAGCATCTGATTCTTGGTTTTGGCTCAGGTCATGATCTCATGGTTTGCAAGTTCGAGCCCTGCATTGGGCTCTGCTGCTTGGGATTCTCTCTCTTCCTCTGTCTCTTTGCCTTCCCCTCCTCTGCTCACTCACTCACTCTCTCTTTCTCTCAAAATAAATAAATAAACATTAAAAAAAGAATACTTTTTATACAAAACTTTGTTCAGCAGACATGCAAATAGGTGTTCAGTGAAGCTTTGCAGTAACCATGCTTATATTGATTTATGGTGGTTGGTATAGGATACTTATTCCCGTGAAGTAGAGGGAAGGAAGCTTTTAGAAGCCCCCTAAGAATGTTCTAGCCTGGAAGGAATTGGGAGTTTGTACTTTTGTTCCCCAAATTTCTCTTTTTGGTTCTTATGTAAAATTTTCATGAAATAATTTCATAGAACATTATATTTGGTTTCCCTCTCCAACCTTTCCCCTTATTCCAATTATCTTTCTAACATTTTTCAATTTATTCAGCATTGTGAAGTTTGGCCCACTGATTTATTAAGATTTCTATGGCTCCCAAAGTCTATGATTATATTATATCCACCTTAGTGTTCACATATTTTGAAGTAATTTTGGGAAAGACATTTAGAGACTAGTGTATTGAATTTATACTCATCCAATTCGGGAAAGTTTAATAGCAAGTTTTTGATAAAATTTGGTAGTATGAAGAACAGAAACAGATATTTCTCTACGTCTTTTGATGATTAAATGATATATTATTTTACACCAGAGAGATTTCATTAAGAAAGACATTGTAAAACCCAGCCCATAGCTTTTATTCATGAGAAGTAAAGTATCTTTGCCTGTTAAAATCCTTTCGGTATAGAGGAGACTCTGGTTCTGACCCTCACAGCCTCTTCAATGAGCCCAAGACTAGTCATTGTTCCCGATTATTAATTCAAAATGCAACATTTCCTTATTGTTAACTATCCTTTCCTTTTCTCTCTTCCTTCATAGATTTTATCTTGACGTTCAGGGCAATTTCTGCCTCTTTATACTTTCTACACTAGTTACTCCTGCTCACTATAATCTGTCCCCAACAAGTGAGGTTTAATTATGTATAGATATTTGTACTAGGGTAGTTTCCCCTTATCCATGGTTTCGGTTACCCTCGGTGAACCGCAGTCAGGAAGCAGATGGTCTACTTTCTGATGTATCATCAGGAGGTCATTACTAACCTAACACTATCTCACTATGCCTACATCATTCACTTCACTCCGTTTATCATGTAGGCATTTTATCATCTCACATCATCACAAGAAGAGTGAGTCAAGTACAATAAGATATTTAGAGACAGAGATAGAGAGAAGAGCATGACACATAACTTCTATTACAGTATGTTATGATTATTATATAATTGTTCTATTTTGTTATTAGTTATTGTTAATCCCTTACTGTACCTAATTTATAAGTTAAACTTTATCATAGGTACATACATATTGGAAAAAACCATAGCATATACAGGGTTCAGTACTATCTGCAGCTTCAGGCATCCCCTGGGGTAGATGTATCCACTGCGTTCATTTATTCGTAAAGACTCACCAGCAGCTCCCAGGAGAGCAAGGAAGATGAAGGTCTTCATGGTTGCTCACTGGATTTGGACTGAGAAGTGTGGTGATCGCTTTTCATCCACAGGTATTTATACCCCCAGGTTTGTCATTGACACCCATGGCCATGGGTGCCAGAAAAGTGATTTGACTGGAAACTTACAAATCCAAATTTAGAATTCAATTCTATGCCAAACTGAAGATAATTCAGCATCATATTTAAACATCAGCTTTTGTCTACTTTTCCAGAAAGTTGTGGAAATGGAAATAATAAACCCACCTGGTGCAATTTGTTCCCCATAATAGAAAAGTACATTGGAGCAAGGTCACAGAATGGGGCTGCAGGTGTCCTGTTTCCCAGACAAAAATCTTAAGTATTTGGTTGTCTCAACTGTGAACTTTTATCTGAGGACTCTCTTGAACACTACCCCCTTGATGTTTAATTAATATTGGCTCTTTCACAGTTATATAATTTTTCTTGTGGCATCTGTGGCTTTGTATAGCCACGTTAAATTTTCATTATTAATAGGGAAACTTGTTTCCTTGAGAAAAGAAAAAAGTGTTCTGAATTGAAACCATGATCGAGGTAAACAGGAGAATGAAAGGATAACTTACTAGAAGTTACTATGTATTTTATATATATAAAAACTTTGCATATATTAATTTAGAAATTCTCATTACAACACTAGAAGATACCTGTTACTATCCCCACTATACATATGGGGAAACTGAGGCACACAAAATTTACAGAGGACTTGAGCAACATCACCTAGCAAGTACACGGTAGGGTCAGGATTCCAATCCAGGAAATCTGGCTTCAGAGTCTGTGCATTTAACCACTATACAACACCTCTCCACTTAGTTCATCACAATCTGGACACCAAGATAATACAGAAATCTTGACAAATGGTAATACAATTGAAATCGATGGAGTGCTTACTATGCATCAGGCACCGTGGATGGGGTTTCTATACATCAGTTCATTCAATCCTTACCAGCAGCTTTATAGGTGTTGTTCTAATTTTTACCATTTTATATATGGGGACAGTGAAGCTTGGGGAAATTACATGTTTTGCTCAAAGTTTTATACTCTTGAGTGGTTAACACAGTGTTCAAACTTGAGCAGACTCATTTCAAGGATCATAAACTCTACTGTGATGCCATAAACATAACTAAGGAGAACAACCTGAACTCCACCAAATTAAAGGATGACCCTAGGGAGCAGAGAGAATTCTTAGATAAATTGAAGAAATGGGTTCCTGGAGCAGGAGTTGTCATAATTAATGAAGCATGGCAGAAGTATCCAGAATAAGTGAATCTCAGGGACCAGATTCTACTCCCACACATCTGAATGGCCTACCAGGATGTACTTCTGCTTTAGCAGATGATCGTCTCTCATGAAGTAGTTTGTTGCTTTTACATTCAAAGTTGTGCTGATATAAAGATGATTCACTAGAAGGCAGAATTTCTCAACCCCCGGCCCTACTGACATTTGGGGCCAGGTAATTCTGTGTTGTGGGGAACTGCCCTGAACACTGTAGGATATTTATCAGCACCCCTGGCCTTAGTTACAAGTACCACTAGCCCCTCCTCCACGTTGTGACAGCCCAAATGTCTCCAGACATTGCTAAATGTTCCCTTGGGTTCAAAATCATCCCCAGCCGGGAATGACTGATGTAAGGAGAAAAGATGGGCAAAGTAGCTTCTAAGGCCATAGCCATGGGTAAGTGATTTGAATGTTAGCATAATGTAGGCACTAATCAACTACTGAATGAATGGCACATAAAGCAGGGGGCTGTCCCTCACTGATACCTAAAAATCATGGAAATTAAGGAGTAAGAGAAGGGCCAGGCCCAGAGTGAAGAAAGGAGAGCCTTCTCAACCCGTCCAATTATCTTCCTTTCTGATACCTCCATGGTGAAGTGTTGGAAGTTGTGTGGTTCTGAATCACCCCTGAACTTCCCTTGAAACTCACCAGAGACCTTAGCTCATATGAAAAGCACATCATCTTCAAAGAGTTCCCACAATAGTTGGCTCATGTGCTGCTATGCTGTAGGGAGCTCTCTCTGGTGCATTCTGGGCTTTATCACTTGGACCCCTTCTCCCTGGAAGGGGAAGTGTGAGGGTTGCCAGGTAAGAGGAATTATCTAGACTCAACTGCAAATGCCCAAATAAACACCTGAGATAAAGGAGCATGGACCCATCCAGTGGCAGCGTGATGACTCTTCAGTCGTCTAAAGCAGTAGTGGGGATGTGGGGAAAATGCCGAGTGATGGTTTCTGGACTTTAGGTATTCCCAAATAACTCTCACATGTGGTGCATGGAAACCATGCACACAATGCCTTTAAAGTAACTTAAGTTTTGATTCAAAAAATTTTTTTAATGTTTATTTATTTTTGAGAGAGAGAGAGACAGAGCATGAATGGGGGAGGGTCAGAGAGAGAGGGAGACACAGAATCCAAAGCAGCCTCCAGGCTCCGAGCGGTCAGCCCAGAGCCTGACTCGGGGCTCGAACCCACGAACCGCGAGATCATGACCTGAGCTGAAGTCGAACGCTTAACCGACTGAGCCACCCAGGCGCCCCAAGTTTTGATTTTAAAGTAGACTTTTTTCCTGAGCCTCTTCTCAAGCATAGATGTTGATATTTCATGTGTTGGTGAATCTTTATCTAATGCACATTAAAATGAACACATGCTGTTTGATAACATAGCTCTTTAAATAACAGTGGTCATTTGTGCGCTCCCTAAAATCACGTTGAAGACTAGTTGTTTTGTATATGTGCCGCCAAAGCAAACACATGTTGAAGACTGATCCCATAGCATCAGGCAGAGGGCCGGACAAAACGAGAGTGGGAAATCCCAAATATCACTGGTGGTCATGGCTGTGGTGGCTGCTGGGTGTGGAAAGGGTATGGAGCAGAGTAGATCTGGATATTAAGTGAGAGCGCAAAGTACGCCAAGCAGAAAATACTAGAAGAATGCTCCCTATTGAAGAGGCCAGGAGAACACGGGATCAGTGTGAGGTGTCTCTCTACATGAGCGCCATGCCGATCTTTTCTGTCAAGTGGGTGAACAAACATGAAGAAGATATCCTTGCACGATTGTGTGGGAGCTCACACCTGTAAGATACCTTTTACTCCTGAGATACTGTGCCTCAATCATCCTGTGAAGTTGGGCCCTGGAGAACTGGGTTGAAACTTCTCAGATTCAATAGATATTCTTGTCTGCGCTTTGTGTGTGCAAAACATCTGTCCTCAATAACATCGATGAATTCTTGTTTGCAATCAACAGTGGTCATGCCACAGTGTGTGGATGTGGAGGAGGTGGGGAGTCTCCTTCCTCAGTCATGTCTGTGAAAAGAGCCACGTGCAATGTGTGGCAATGTCCACGTTCCTTTTGCCGGGCAGAGTGGGTTGGTACCTATACTTCTTTTCCTCACTTCAAGCACATGAAGGTCCAGAGGCATGTGTCTGTATTTAGTGCATCTGTATTTGTCACCCCTCTTTCCCATGCACACGGCTTAGTGGCCTTGGAGGACTATCTAAACTTGGGCCTGAATTAGGGGCTGGTTGGGCTCCAGCAAATATGTTGACATTTATATTGGCAGAAGCAAGACTCACCGGCCTCTGAAGGCAACTTTATGATCTTCTCTCTGATGGAGTCTGTTTTTCTTTTCGCTTAGATGCTCCAGCCACCTTCTTGGCTAACACAACTCTAGTTACTGAGGCCATTTACTGGCTCTTTAACCGTGCCAACAGGAAGGGAAATTTTTAAACAAGAATTCCTCTCCCTGAAAAAAAGATATATTAAATTACTAAAAAAAAACTGAAATAAGCAATCAGGGCAACAAGAATGCAAAAAAGAACAAGGTTACAAAGTACGCGCTTGTGTCATAACCCTGATGCTAACCTGACGGTCCGTGCTAAGCTCAATTTCTAATCATTGCCATGTACAGAAAACCAGTGTTGGCAAGTAGAATGCTCTTTCTTGGTAAAGTGAACCCTGGAACCAGACAGGCTTCCTTGAGAACCCTGCTCAAGGATGGCATTAGTTTGAGGACATTTCTATTCTAGCTACATGTGATTCTCTCCATGATATTGTTTGCAGGAGTCAGCAAACATTTCCTGTAAAGAGCCCAATAGTAAATGTTTTAGGCTTTGCAGCCAATACAGTCTCTGTCACAACTACTCTTCATTGCAGCGTGAAGGCAGCCATATACAGTACATGTGTGGTTGAATGCAGCTACGTTCCAGTCAACCTTCTTCATTTCCTGAAACAGGCTGCAGGTCAGACTTGAACCTGGGCCATAGTCTGTTGACCCTCTCCAGAAGAGAAGGAAGAAATGAATTAAATGCCCCACATCCAGACTTAAAATTGAATGGTGATTGTTTCAATGATCAGGTGTGGCTTGAAAGAAAACTAGTGATCCTAAGAGAATTAGCTCACTGTTGACCTTCAAGTAATGCTTTTGGGAGAAATTAAGACATGGGGAATTGGGGGTTTAGGGCTAGGATATCGGAATGACAGAGAACAGGGCAAAACAAAGAAGAGAATGATAGAGACAGAAACTTGTACCAAAGGATGAGAAACAATAAAATTCTGGGAGAGAAGATTTCAATCTGGCAACAGAGTTCTGGCCTTCATTCTGCCACTAGCTTCCATTTTGGGGGGTCTTTGCATATTAATATCCTCATGTATAAAATGAACACCCACAGAAAATCAGGGGGAAATAGAAGTTAACACGATCTTCGACCCACATACAAGAGTTTTGTTAAAGTGTTAACACAACTAAATTATGTCTCTGTCAGCATTCTCTTCCCACTGCTCTGTCCTAAAGATCCTTGACTTATCTTTGAAGATCCTTGACTTACCTTTCAAACAAACCACCTGTGCCTTCGTTCAGGACCACGGTCTGCTAAAATAAATAGCACTACTAGTATTTTCTTGTTTCTGGATTTACTGTCCTTCAACCTACCACCATACTGTTTTACCAGAGTGGTCTTTCTAAAATTCAAATGGATCATGTCATTTTCCTG